TTAAACAAGCATCAATCAGAAGACTGATATGAAACTTCCATATAAATAAGCCTCTAACTTCCATCAACAAGTAATGGCTTGCAAGGGAACSTTTGGTCATATTTCAATGCATTGAACATTGTTTTATTAAGAAATACATTAAATCCCTCATTAAGAACACACTGAAAAGCAACCCCTGCCTCCTCCAAATCTCTCTACAACCTGGCAGGGACAAGAAAGCTTGAAAACAATGTTGAAACTACAAACGGCATATAAAAAAATCCAAAAGAATTYATTAAATGCCATATTGAAAATTTTAGGATAGGAACTGCAAAGAAAAATGAGGTAAGAGTGCCCAAGTACAGAACTATGCTTTTTCCCCTTTTTTTCCTGTTAGGGAACAGCAGAAAAAGAAAATACCTTTCAAAAAGCTGGCCTTTATGTAAAAGGGGATGAGGTTTCTATTAAACATTTACCTTTCACAGTGAGCATATTCTTGCTTTGTTAGCTGATGACTGCCACTGTTTATGAAACAGGATTAGTTTCCTTAGACATTCCCAATCCCCCAGTTAACTGCACCTTATGAATCACCGAATTCATAACTTGTCAGGCGTGGTCTGATACCTCAGGGCAAACTGGGACCCTGTTGCAAATGAGACACATCAACTGCTTACGAGCTCAGCAGGCAATACATTATTAAATGTGCTAAAGTCTTCAATGCATTTTTACTGTAGTAAAAAGAGAGAATAATAGCATAGCTCTTTTTAAGCAGTGTAGTCATGGCTATCCCCAAAACAGATTATTAAAAATTAAATAATTCACACAGAGGAGAATGCTGCAATGCAAGGACTGGAAGGTGGCTAGAAGGATTAAAGAAATAAATCACTTCAGTTTATTTTTAAGCAAGGTTCCTTTTTAGAAGGAACAAAAATACTAACATCTCTGTGATAATTTTCCTATGGACTTTTGGAAATACRAGCCATGTTTTGCACTTTCTCCCCCACAACTTCCATACAATTTCAGCTCCTTCTAAAAAAGTTTCCCAGAACCCAGTTCCCTTGAGTGGTGGTGCAATATAACACATGAGAAAAGGTAACAAGCTACGTGAAAGAGAAAACACTGAACAAAAATGTAAAACCCACATGCAAGATCCACACTAGGCATGCTCAGTCTCTTTGGAGCACCAGCAGAGTATATTTTTTTTAGAATAGTCTCACACGTGTCACTTTATTTGGTCTCCAATGCTCAGCGAAGACCTTGGTAACTCAGACAAGAGGTGGTTAGGTCCTTGGCTTAGCTGGAGTCGAGGAACACAGGGGAATTCTGCATGCAAATCGTGAGGCATTGGAACTGACTTCTTTGAAAGCAACTATATAAAAGTTTTTTAAAATCTCCTGCCCCTATCTGGATCTGRTTGTGGTAAGTAGCCTTTAAAAAGAGCTTCTGAAGTGGCCTTTGTATTTATTCATTTCGTGCATCACTGGGAGRACTCTGTAAGGGTATAAAGCACAGTATACCTTTGCCACAAGGAAATAGATCCTGGGTAAAGAGAAGAGAATGACTTGGAGTGACACAAATTATTCTGGACAAAATCACAATCAAAAGGGACACATTTAATAGTCGCCTATTGAGAAAGTAACATGCATTGCGAGTAGTCCTGCGTAAGAGGGCTACAGGATTTTTAACAATGGAGAAAGACCAAAGCACGCTGGAGATTAAAGTGTAAGAAGTATAAAAGCAGAGTTTTCCCTTCATGCTTAGAAACCTGCCCTGCTTCCCTTTCCGACCCCTGCCAAGACAGTTATTACTGTCTCTGTCAGTTCTGATGCAAACCCTGGARCCCTGTACACAAGCTTGATTTGACCAAATTCAGTTGCTTGCTATAAATATGCCACTGTTATATTCATGTACCACACAGCTCTGTTTAAAGTTCTCACAGAACATGTGCCACTTCCCCACAGGGAAAAAAAACAAACCACAATCAAAACAACACACCACCCTTCTTTTTTTCCCTCACTACATTTTTACTCATGCAACAAGAAGAGACTATTCCCGAGTATTACTCATGAATCAAGCTGATAAAACTTCAGAATACAGATGGGAACCTAATGAACTTCTAAGGGTTYGACAGGGTGCATATTGGATGTGGGGTGTTTGAAATATTACACTGCATCGACATGCCTCACTATGGGGATAAACATTGGCCCAAGGAAAATATTCGCTGCAATATTTTGTTACTCATTTCCAGTATTTTGTTTTTGATGCAAGCTGGGCACCCTCCCAAGAAAACCAAAATCTTCTTCCTTGGAACAGGCAGATTTCAAAGGAACACTATGCAAACGCTGGCTATCTTCCTCTATGATCTTTATGYAGTTACAAAACTGCATGGTGAGGATAAGGGGTGACTGCTCTGACTTAGAAGTGTAAAATAAAGAATCAACACTACTGCTTCAAAATGTTTGGCAGTAGGGTAAAAAATATGTTTTAAGCCAAGTGAAGCTTTCTTAACAATGACACAGCAGGTCTATCTCCAACGGGGTATGCATTTGTTTCCGATTAAAGCGACCCCCAAAACTCCAGGTACATTTGATTGTAAATGAACTTTCTATTTGAAATGAAATTTATTGCTTATACAGAAATCTTTAGTCTAAWTTTTTTTAAAAAAGAAAGAAAACAACACCCAAGTACAAAAACCTCAACAACAGAAAGTCCTTTAAATTCAAAATCTATATAAATAAAGGAAAAACAATAAAAACATCATCAAACTAATAATTTTCAAATATATTAAAACATTAAAAATTAATTTTGCTGTGTACTTATTCCTTGAAAAGAGACTTTAAATAGCAGTTGTGTTAAACAGTAAATTGTCCTGAAGAGTTTTGATAATTTTTAAAAATCATAATAAAGGTAGTTTACCTGATCCCTGAAAACTCAATGGAAGTTATTACATCTTGCAGTAGTTCAAGAGAACTAGTTATAGGAATTTACCTAACTTTGCTGATTAAAAAAACCTAAAAACTCCAAACCTCATCAGTTTTCCTGTGCAAGGTCCACAGATGGTAGCAAGAGTAAGAAGAGAAAAGTCCACTGAAGCAATATGACTCAAAACATCTTGAAGATGCTGTTAATAGCTGCTTAGAGCTAGGATTTCACCATTTTTGGAAAGGTCAGTTAAGTGAACATTCACAACTAGGAGAAGTGTTATTCTAGTAAACCAAAACATTTGTGGTTAGTAAAAYTGAAGCAGATTTTATATCTGCATTAAAAATATGTTTCCATTTGTCAACTTGTGGTTAAGTACAACTCTACACCATTCTGGGAAACGAATGATGCAATCAACACTTCCAATCAGGAACAGGTTAGACTGCATGAGATTTAACAGTAATAAAATACTTGAACCAAACAATTTGTCTAATACATACCAGAGAAAGGGAGACTGCTCCTTTATGGATTTTTGCTAAAAACAAGAAGGAAATCAAAATAGACAAACTCAGAATAGTCACATTAACATATCATAAGTAAATACAGTTCTGTAAGAATTCTAGATYTCAATTTGTTCACAAACACCATGAAGTTTTGGGGCAACTTAGGTTTTGCAGCAAATGGAATGATTCTCAATCTCCTTCTCTGGATAAAAGTTCTTAAAAACCATCCTGTCTTTGTTGTGCAAATGGGGAAATTTAAAGGAAAAACTCACAACTAGTGTTAGCATAGACAAACTTTTACCCTTACATGCTCACAACAGAAATGGACTATTTTGAAAAGGAAATTAGGGCTGGAGATCAGCTTCAGCTTGCAAATTGACTTAGAGAGCCTGAGAGTTCTAACATTTTATTTTCTTTTATTCTTTTTTTTTATTTGTTTTTATGCCAGGCAGGAAATGAACAGTTATATGAGGTTAGGTCAGTTGGTCAGAGTATGATGCTAACAATGCCAAGGTTGTGGGTTTGATCCCCATACAGGCCATTCACCTGAGTTGGTCTTGATCAACCTTGATCTTGGAACCTTGTGGGTCCCTCCCAACTGCAAATATTCTGTGATTTCTGAATCACTGGGGGGCTACTGCAGATTTTCACAGCTGAAGTCGTTTTACAGTAGAACAATCTCGTTTATTTTTCACTTGCGTCTTTTGACAAAGCTGTGCAAATTAACAATCAAAGTCAGAAAAGTATCTCTATACATTTAGAATAGCTACTGATTCCAATTGGAAACAATATACAGCATGATACAGATTCTTACAGCAACAAATTTGTAGAATTGCCAATGTAGGTCTCTTATTTATGACCTTAGTGATCATTTGACCCTCCTCATTCAAGAGATGTACACTTACAGCCCAGAAAGCCAATTGTATCCTGRGCTGTATCAAAAGGAGAGTGGTCAGGAGCGTGAGGGAGGTGATTCCTGAACGACACTAACTTTATTCCTTGCTTAAACACTCACCAAGAAGTGCCAGTTTGCTGACACTTTGGTAATTCCAAGATGCTGCTAGTCTGTAATCTTTCACTTCCTTCTTCCACCTGCCCTAAATAGAAATTTATTTGCACAGTATCTGTTTTTAGCAGGATAGACTCTGTATTTAAAATTAGTCTTAAATAGTTATTTTAGCAACTTTGTCAGATGCTTGACTATTTGTYAAGCCTGCAGACCAACATGTACTGATTATATGGACATGTATAGAACCATCTGCCTTGGGAGGAKAAGACCAACAGCAAAGTCATTCTAAAAATTGAATTATTGCTTGTCTAATTTGAGAAGGTGTCAAATCCTGTAGCTTTGCATAAAATATAATTTTCTAAACACAGAAAAGTGAAGTTCTTGAATATAAATTCATTAGTTTAGAGGGGTTGTTAACTTATTCTGCAATAATAATTTTCCTTATATTATTCCTCTTCAGTGTCTTTGGAGGGGCTGTTGAGTTTCCAAATTCTTAGCTTAAAAGACTTGCTATGAGCAGTGACTTACCTTCAAGCAAAGACTGTTTTCAAATGAGAAAGCTGCATTTATAAWGAAAACTCATAATATTCTATGAAATATTCAAAATTCTTTATTTCAGGCCAGTATAGTATTGTTACAGGCATCCATCTCTTCCTCTGCCCTTGCACATGATCAAAGTTGGCACTTCCAACCACAAAAATGTTAAATGGTTATTACAGTATAGGCACAAAGTAGCCAAAAATCTTTACTTACATCAAGCAAAGCCATTATTGTGCTCTAACAGCATTTATCACCAGTGCATAAACTGAGCTCCTCTCCCAAGAGCAAGCAGGAAAGGGAAATTTCCCTTAAATGAAGGAACACAGATGGCAGCTCTGCTGCTAAAGCAGTCATTACAACAGTGGAAGAATGATAGAYACCTGGATACACTGGACACCTTTCTTCACTCCTTTCAGTGGTGGCACTTACTGCTTCACGTGGGTTTGTTCAGAAGTGGATTAAACATCTTCACAGGTGTCCCTCACTGCTTTCATTACATAATCACTATCAGASTTCCACATTTGATGAATCAACATGATTTTTAAAAAATGAAACAATAAAAGCCCCAGAAGACTGTTGTCTTCTGGTACTGCAGTTCTCTTGCCTAAGACCCTGATTCATAACTTCCATAATCTGAGACACTTTGTATTATTTACTACAAATTAACATAACTAGTGTATTTTACTGCATTTCAAACTTCCAGTTAAAGTGGTAAGGCTAGCAGTTAGCATATGGAATGAGTATCAGATATTTATGTATACCAAAGGCAAGTTATTCCCAAAAATCTCTACAACTACCTTACAAACAAAGCTAGCAGCAAACAGTGCTTTCTTTACAAAGTMGTCACTCATCAACACAACTGATTGGGCAGCCATCTGGAAAATAAGCTGATAGCTAGGTTACAAAAATAGCCAAACAAATATTTGATCATAGTAACTGTATGAGCAAGTGTCAGAGGGAGGGAAGTAAGCATGATTCAGTTAGCATAAACTCCACTTATACAAGAGTGCCTCCAAGCCACAGAATGCATAGCTTCAGTTATACACKAATAATCAATACTTCAGTCCAATACACACAACTGAGTTTGGCCAGCATGTCTGAACAGGCAATGGAACATAATTCCATTGGTTTTCTCTACAGCATGCAGGTCCACTTGATTTGCACGAATGCGCCTTTGCCTGTGTAGGACACTTGGGAGCAGCAGGTACCTGGCAGCTCAGAATGGAGGGAAACGGCAGAAGTGCTTCTGTCGGAGGTAAGGTTCAAYATATGCAAGGTATGTGCACAGTTTGTTTCTAGGCACGTCTTTGGTTACATTCTCAACACAGTCTGCTTTACAAAATAATAAATAAAACAGTCAAGATTTGGTTAAAATCCAGGCAAAGATTAAAAACTTCTGTTTTTCAGAATTTCAGATGAAGAAGTCCCTTTAAATTTGTGTTTTGTTATATCCATAAACGATAAAATCCCAGTGCTACAGTAAGGCATGTAAATACTGAACCTGAAAGAAAAAAAGATGGGGAGGAAAATGGCATTAACATTGACATTAAATAATATTAAATCAATAGCTCTCAAAACATCTCTTTGGAAAGAATCTTACCACAATACTAAGAGTTCAATGAACTCCCCACYCCCATGTGAGAAATTAAGTTTTTTYATTTACAACAAACCATTTCAAGGCAGGAGGGGTATAAAAATGACAAATAAGGAGAGAAAAAACAAAGAGAATGCTGGAAAACTGTCAAAAGGCTGAAAGAAACCCTTTCTTGCTTAYCATTCCAAAAAGATCAATATAGCAAGTTACAGGTGTAAGATGTGGAAATAAGCAACAGGATTAATAAATCACAGTCAAGTATTTAGCAAACAAATAAATGAAAGCCATTTTAAACAAGGCTTATCAGTCTTCCATTTTTAAAATTTCTACTTAAATCAAATTTTTATTTCAAAATTTATATACACACAAAAGATTTTTGCCTTTGTTTCTAACAGGAGCAGTTCAAACACAATGCAAATGATTATGTATTATTTTTTCTTCTATGTAGAGTTCAACTTGTTTTTGAGTAGGAATGGTAAGGGAAATAATTTCCTCCCATTTTAATAAAACACCTTTTATTTTCTATTTTATTGGTCCTCCCTAAAGGACATGTCTGAAATACRGTACTATGAATAGGCTTAAGTGATCGTACTTTTGATAAAACACACAGTGAAAACATAATCAGAAAATCTAAATCAGAAGAATAATTTTCTACTGCAAACCTCATTTAATAGTACTGCACACCCAGTAATAAAATGTCAAAATCACAAAGTTACCTAGGGCAATAACGTAGGCACACATATAYAGTATTTTCTCCATGCACTTGTACAAATAAGGAAGTTTAAAGAACATGTGGCCTTGAACAGTCAAAAAAAATGAAATGGTCCTTTTTGCACACAGATCTCCATCAGATGGAGGAAGAAATCCTAGCAGTGCATGCAGCAGACTGCTTACGTAAATTAAGCCAGGTACAGAAGAACTTTTTGGTCCCTGTTAAYATGCAATCTTTTCAATTTATCACACATATTAACAGTATAAAGAAGGGCAACAATGTGAAAAAAGCCCATGCAAAATARAGTTGTGAATCATTGGAAACTTCGTCTGGGTTAAGTACAGAAATAAGGTTCCTAATCTTGCCTAAGACTAATTCAAGTTTTGKTTTTTTTTCTCAATTGGGGCCTTTATGAATACAGTCAATTGAGAGTTTGCCAAACATTTAGCAATGTTTGGYAGTTTCACTGTCAGAGACAAGCACCAGATTCCTTACCTGCTAAGTACTTAATATTATCGAGTTTGTGCGATTCGAGCATTGTTTTCAGATCTGCAACTTCTGTGTCTATTTTTCTGTCTGTTTGGGTCAGAGCTCGGTCTTGTTGTGCATGCTAAAAAACAAAGCAACAAAATGATGCAATTTGAAAACTTCCTAGTTTATTTAGAAATTTAACGCATCCCTTCAAGTAGTGTTTTTGCTTCCTCCTTAAATGCATGTTAATTTGCATTCTTGCAGAAGTTACAGAATATTTTGAGTTGGAAGGGATCCACAAGGATCTTAAATCCAGCTCTGAAGTGAATGACATGTACAAGGATGGAGTCCACAACCTTGGTGTTATTAAYGTCATCACCCTATTCAAAGAGAACAAATTCCTTCTTAGCTGATTATATCCAAAGAATTGAATAATTTGGTGAACTCAGAAAGTTTATGTGATTATATGTTCCTTAACAAGTAATTTAGAAACTGGCAGAACTGGATGCCTTCTTATCTGAATCCAACAGTATAAACATTAACTTCAATCTGTCATTCAACCTACTSACTAAAGTCACTGCTCAATTGTAAGAGTTATTGAGAATTCTAAGAGACTCTTGTCGCAAAATCATAGTGGAGCAGAGAGATTTATGGATCATTAGAAAAACTGAGAATTTGTCTTCTGTTATAGAAATGTCTTTGTCTTGCAATGAGTTCTACCACAAAATCAGCTACAAATTCAGAATTCAATTATTACAGAAGAGAGAACTTCTGCTAAAAAATATGGGACAGAATTATTACTCAGAAGAGAGTGAAAAATCCAACTTTTAAACTGAGAACAACAGCTGCTGAGCTGCTGATAGTTTCAAATCAGCACTTCTAAAACACTGTGAAATCAGTTAATCATTTACTGCTAGATGACTTCCTAGGGATAATTCCCTGAACTAYAGAAAGGAAACAAAGAACAGTAGTAGTGCTGGGTAAAAACCTCCTCTAAAATGAAGACAAATCAATCCAGCAGTAARTTTCTCTCTGAATGTGGAGGGAAGAATTAATTTCACATTATGASTGGAATTTCATCTATAGAAAATACTACACGCATGAAGTTTCAAAACAAAGTGACTACTGAACAGCTTACATATATATGCAGAGGGCCTAATAATATACATGAAATATAAATATACATACTTTTTATTCTGTAGGCACTTAAGTTAAAGTGCATAAAGATATCACCAAGTCCAAAAAGGATACTAGGTCTATAACACAAGTACAAAAGGATTTGCCGTGTAATAATCAGCTACTAAGTTCTTACCAATTCCACTATTTCTGTCCTCATTTCAAGCAGTTTTCTTTCATTAAGTGAATACTAGAGGGGGGAAGAAAAAAAGAGTTAAACATGAAACTACCCTTAAACTTCCTTTCCACTTAAAAGCATGTTTCTTTGTTTCCAAATTATGCAGAACACATAATCTGGACATGATTATTGTCTGACAACACTTGGGAGCAAGCATTGTAGAATAACTGCTGTCCTTTTGACAAGCATACTTCAGAAATGTGAAGTGCAACAAATTCATCAGACACTCATCTTCCACAAAAACTGTGTATATTATTAGGCAGCTGGAAGAAAGGCTGGCAGATTTGCATTTTTGAAAAACAAGGACCTATGACTCCAAACAGTAACTCTGGAACAGYAGACTAATCCATCGAACATACAAGCACAACCAAGACTGAACCATCTGCTACCTTCAAGAAGGGAAGAACACTTTAAAAACACATCAAACTCAGCTATTAAAAATATGTTTAGCCAGCACTCCCTGCACTCACAATTTTAATTGTTCTGCCCTCTACCATTTCATGGTATATTTGTTCATAACAGAACATTTGTATGGCATGCGCAGCCTTTTGTTTGTGGATCTTCAGAGGCTGTGACTTGTTTTTAAGTTATGGCTATTTGGGTCCAAGGAAAAGTTAAATCCAAATCAAGGAAGCGCACCTTTAAAGCAGGTTACCTTTCTGACTCATGAACAGGCTTGATTTACCTTGACACCTATAATGGTTCCTGCCCTACTACTGGAGAAATTAAATTATTCATAGACAACTGATAAAGCACCAGTCTATAGTGAGCTAGAGTACTGAGGTCAGCAGGCACCATCTCAGAATCCTGAGTTACACACCAATAACCTTATCWATTGACATTCCCACATGGGAAGTCACCTTATTTCTCCTTCACTCTGGAAGCTTATTTCATTTTAACATTAAAATCAGATAAATCTACATAAATGTCTCAGCACTGAAACCACTCCTTAAAGATCTAGACCTCTGTTTCGACTTTTGACTGATGTGAAATTGAAGTTAAAAGCAGGCTGCTTCAAATGTAGAAAATGACATAAAAACAAGTAACAGCAAGTCTACAATTAATGAAAGAGTCACTAGATTCTGCAAAATGAGAGGGATGAAAGAAGAAATTCAGACATTTTATATAAATCTCCATTTTTGGCAGTGTCAAGATAGCAGAATATTTATAAAATAATCTAATTGAAACTTTGTTTGGATAGAAATGCAAGAATTGGACCTCACATTGATGAACTGATCAGTAACAAAAGAACCGTAAGAATTAAAATAATTTTATGGACTGAAATAGTTCATCTGTTTTACTTTAAGYAGATGCAGTTAGCCAAATGCACATCTTCTGAATGATTTATATTCTGCAAGCTTTTTCTGGATGTTTCTTAAAGTTTTGTTTTGTATCTAGAATRCTCTAGGTCAGACCGAGGATTTTAATCTTAGGTTTAAGACAGTGAAATTGGCCTTTTACTGCAAGGCATCCCCACATCTCTAACAACATAAACATAACAGTGTACTAAAAAAAAAAGAAGGAAGGACAAGACTAAACCTCCCCCATCCTGAAATTCAACAGGGAGATCTCCTCTTAAGYTCATGCTTTCCACAGTGCAGAAAAAGTTCAGTTTTGTATCAATTCAGATACATCTTGAGTTTTTTAACAGTGAGCTTAGAGGCACTGTGATGGGTGAATATATGAATTTTTGTACAGTATTTCAAGTTTTTAAATCACATCTGTACACTGAAGATATAAATCATAGCATAAACAGATGTGTACTAGGCAATGTAGTGTTCYCTGAGAAATAAAGTAGAAGAAATTATAAAATAATAAACTATAACAAATAAAAGAGCATTTAGAGTTCGGAACATTAAAGACTGGCAATGTCAGTGTAGAGAAATGAAGAAATTCTCTTTCAGCACTTATTCCATGTAACACTGAAGGATAAGAACATTTTACTTACTGCTTCAAGTTAAAACAATTGAAACTTTGGACATTTCTCTTCTGAAAAGTAACTTAGTAAGAATGCACAGTAACCTTTAATTATCCTGAGTTTTAATCTGAGAAAGCTGGATATTCAGTCCTCACATTATGATTGAAGTAAATATAACAATGATGCTGTGCCTACTATAGAAAATACTGGATTATGTCTTTCCCTAAACTCAGCATATGTGCTACAACCTGCTCCACATTCAGCTGCCTTTTTCCTTTTCTGTTCACACATTGCAGATCTCACAATTAAATGGTGGGGTGGGGAGAGGAAAAAAAAGAAGAGCAGTTTCCATAGAAACTATGAAATTATAGTGGCACAACAAAGCTGGTCAACTTTTAAGAGAAAGTTGACAGTGCAGAGTTTGCCTTTCCTGGGAGACAAAATAAAGTTGTGTTTTGCGCAACAGACAAAAATTCAGATTTCATCACCCTACACGAATATACAAGAAGACATTGGTGTCTAACTTATCACTGTTGCAGTGGTTTCATATTCTAAGTCTGAAGTTTTGCAAAACTTATGATCTAAACAATGACTACATTTCATATGATGTTTTTATAAAACATTAGCATGAAGTACTAACCTTTAAACAAGAATTCTACCTGCTCAAACTGTACTTTATTCAAGCATCTACCATGGGCTAACATACTGTTAGTCATTATACTGAATGATTGACACAGCTGCTACCTAAACTAATCATGGTGAAAATCTTCAAGCGGCACACACAGAAGATAAATATCTACAGTTCTTACTGCCTGGATTGAAGATAAATATTATATCTTTATGACACACCTGGGAAAAAGCATTGAGTAAGAAATAATAATAATTTAGAAAAAGTAATTATAAGATCTTTCAATTTAGAATTTGCCATTTCATCGAGATTCTAAAAGCTACTGAAAAGAAAARTCTATGTGAACAGAACTCTAAACAGAGTGTTATGTATAATGCCAAAACTTTTTCATATTTTAATTTTTCATCTATATTACCCTAATTTACAATTATCAATTTACAATAATCAATTCACATCTACCAGGTATTCCAAAGCGCAAAAACAATATGAAAAAAAAATACAGCTTGTTCCACATCAGGTATTTTTTGACAAACTAGATACAGGGAAATGAAACATCTTCAATGATGATTCAACAAAATCTGTAAACTAAATTAAGTGTGTAAATAGAGAAAGAGATATACTAWTAAAATAGAAAACCCTCTGGGCAGCTAGTCAGCAGATTAGATTAAATATCTAATATATTTAGTGTAATGTGTTAAGCCTGCTATTATAACAAGATCAAAATAGGTTAAGACATACAGACCCAAACATGGCACTTTGCATATACCAGCACAAAGATAAATAACTTGGATTAATAACATCTTGAAGCTGAGTGATACTATAGGTTAGTATGAAAATGCTCTTTGGGTAAGATGCTCTTACCCAAATTTGGAGATTACTCAGTGTTGAGATGTTTCTACAAGAAAGTAACCAAAACTTACCAGTTCTTTTACTCTGCTCTTCTCTAGGTTTAGGTTTAACTTGTTATCTGCACGAACTTTGGTAATTTCATCCTAATGGAAAAAATTGATAAAGCAGCAAGCAAGATTTTCTGTTTAATCATAAGCAGAAAGAATTAGACAAAYATATTGTATCTTTCTGTATATATCTCATTAATCTAGCTTCTTTCCAATTAATGTATATAATTTTCAAAAGTATTAAGTATTTCTGTTCTTCACCTGGGAAATATGGTGTTCTGTAGTATAAACTTGATCTCAGAACCAAAAACTAAAAATTACTTTCAACCCTGAGAAGAGCAGCTAATTGAGAGTACACCATCCTATATATGCAGAAAATGTTTCATACATCCTGTAACTCTCTCTGGTATGTAGAAACCCATGCCTGGTTACACCTGTAAGTTGGATTTCTTCCACGAAGCAATCTTGATCTCAAAATAACATCCAAAGCAGTTTCTCACCTCCTAATGTAAAAAAACCCACCCCTGTTTCTAAAGACTACATCTACGCCTTTCAGAAAAAGCTACAGATATTTTAGAAGTCAGGAAACATTTCTTACATTTTTAAACACCTAACTTTTTAAAACGACTGTAGGTTCTACACTTGTATTTTACTTTATCAATAGCTGTGAGTCCTGCTTGCCCTGGTGACAGCTGCCATGTTAATGCAACTTCCTGGCAGGAATTCCAGCCAGCTGACAGTTTGTCATGCGGCAAACTGCTGATCAAATGAATGTGTGGGAGAAGCAAAAGATTGCTGATATTCTGGGAGATTCTACTGCTAGGACCGAGTAAGCATTTCTCAAGTAGGCCAATGCCAACTTATTAGGTTAGCATTAAAAAGGATTAGACTCAATATCTATGTTTGAATTTTAATTGGTTTATCATTAGTTGTCATTGCAACAGAATACATTACAGTTTGGTAAACAAAAAAGATATTTTTTCTTGAAGTTTTACATTGTGCCTTTTTGTATGAGCAARCACAAAATAACTTGCCCTTGCGAGAATTACAATTAAAGGTAAAATATAAAGACATCTAGCTTTTAAGAAAAGATGACTCAGATTCTTAATGCTCTACAGGTGAGCTACATTAACTCATTCATATGCACCTAAAACCATAAAATAAGTTACAATTCAAAACTTAGATGCTAAATGTATTTTAAAATAGCGTAAGTTTTCCACTCAGAGCCCATTTTCTTGCAATGGTCATTTGCTCCCAAACACATGACACCACACATAGTGGTTCCAAACTTGGTGGCCTTATAAAGCCATTTAAAGACAATTTGAAATTCTGGACAACAGGTAAGTCTTCAGAGAATAAAGAAACAAAAAACCCACCAAACCAAACAATCAAACCCCCAAAGTTAGTAAGTACTGTAATTTTAAACATATGCTGTATCTTTAATGTACAGGGAGCCCTGGATATAGAACTTCACTCAGCCTTAACCATGACATGGCAGCTACTTTCTGAATCTGATTTAAGGACATATAAGTAAAAATATCTTCAGTTATATTTTGATTCACCTCTCGTATTATTCAGTTTCCTGTCCCCATAAATGAAGTATGCATGAAATTGTCTTTGCTGCAGCTCACAGTGCAGTGTGAGCAGCAATTCCAGTATCACATGTATCACAACAATTAAGCACAGGTTAGAAAATAAAATTTTGAAAGTAACACTCGTTATTTTTTTTCCAAGCAAACTAGGCAGGTGTTAATTCTTAATTAATTTGGTATGGTATCTTACCATGACTTGCTTCTTTATCTGCTGGAGTTCAAGTTTTATTTTCTGTGAGAGTGGGAAAAAAAATTGTAGACTTTATTACTGTATATAAAACCACACAATCTAGAAATCTCCTGAATTTGCATGTTCAGTAACAGTGACTATAATTCAYAATATGAAAAGGCAAACAAACCAATCAATATTCTACATCCTCAGTATGTGTATAGATGAATACACATGCATGTTTACTCAGTACTGTGCCCTTCCAAAAAAACAGCACAAGGCAGAAATYAGCAGTGTCCCACTGGCAGCCCTCCTAACACAGCCCAGGAGGCCACTGGCTGCTCTGGCCACAAGGGCTCATCACTGGTTCATGGTCAACTTGGAGTCCACCAGGCCTTTCCTGCCAAGCCATTTTCCATTTGGTCACCCCCAGCCTGTCCGGTGCCTATGAGTATTCCCTAGGGTCAGGACTGGGCATTTCCATTTATTCCACTTCATGAGATTGAAGTCATCCCATTTTTCCAGCTTGTTGATGTCTCCATGAATGGCACCAGAATTGCCTGGTGTATCAGCCRCTGCTCCCAGCTTTGGATCACCTGCAGACTTGCTGAAGGTGACCTCTGCTCTGCTCCATCAACAAGATCATTAATGAAGATGCCAAATCATCCGAGCCCCAGTCATTTCTTTGGGTACAAGATGCTTTTCTACATCATTAGGAAAAAAAAAAAAGACTTCCCAAAACACTGATCTTTACCTCATTTTCTGAACGAAGTGCTGAAAATTCACTTTTTTCCAAAATAATCATGTCCTTTTTCACACCGCCAATATGGGACATTACTTGCTGAAGCGCAATTTCCTTTAAAAGAAGGAAGAACATCAGAACATATTACAACTATAATGCTTTTTCTCATCTGTGCCTATAAATATAATAGACTATTTTGATACTGTGAAATTTTTAATTCAGCAATTTCAGATTGATTATCCAAGTTTCAAAAAGCTAGATAAAATGACAGTGACAAAATAAGCAAATTAGACTCAAATGTCGGTAATGTCTGACAAAATTGGCAGTGCTAACACAGATTAGAATAATTCAATTATTAGCCTAGGAAACATTTGCTTCCAAGTTTTCAAATTCTTAAGCTAGCAARGGCATTAGGGAGAGTGGTCTCTGAGCCAAATGAGGAAATCTGGTCTTCAGACCAAAATTCCTCAGCACAACCATACTCTTCTGTAATTACCTCCTTATTTGCCTCTCCCTGCAAGGAAGTCATTCTGCCTCACTACTCAGAATCAAGCACTAATACTCTGAACTGCTCTTCTTAGTCCATTACACTCAACTGACAGAAGACAAGTAAGAATTCTCGGCAACTTTCAAGGATGGAAAAGTCTGTAGACATTATTCTAGATCCTACACTACCCACACCGAGAAACAAGAACTGCCTTCTCTACTGAAGATCTTCCTCTAATAAGTAGTCCCTTGTTTTTGGTTCTGGATTAAAAATCTGACACAGCACTCTAATTTCAGTTTTGTTACAAAATGTTATTCCAACTTGAAGCATTTATATTTCTAAGCAGAATCTAAAGATGACTCTCCAGACTACCTCACCACAAGACTGAGAAAAAAGGGTCAGTGTTCTGGACACATTACAAAAAGTCTACACAAAAAATACTGCATGGACATCTCTTTTCTTACACCTCGGTGTCTCCACATTGCTCTTGTTCTCTCTTCTCCTCAGTAGACTCAGCAGCGACCAGAATTTTCCATATTCTTTCTCTTCTTCAYGTCTATACATACAAAGTGTATATCTGTTTTTCCCTAAGGTTTTATCTAACCAAGGTAATACTTTGGTAATAGCTGGTCCACACCATTCCAACTCTTTCTTTCAATTCCTCGTACTCTTTCTGCAGAAGCCCTCATGCAAACAAAGACTATAAGGAAGTACAGGTTTATGATGTGGCTCGGTGCTCATTGCACACACACTTCCTGAGCTGCCATACTAACCCATACATTGCATCTTAAAGGCAGAAAGTTGTTTGACAGTCAAATCCAAGTCTCAGAAAACATCTACTATCAGTAGCAACATTTAATTAAACACAAAACAACTTTCATTCAATAAAGTTAGGCATAGAAGGAGGCTGAGGCTGCTTATTGTAAAATACATCTAACCACAGGAGAAAAGGACCCTGTAACATGGCATTGCCTGAGYGATTGCGGAACAAATTGAACACAAGAGAAGGAAGGACTCCCATATCTGGTTTGCGTACAATCTRAAAGCTAGTAAGGATGGCCTGAAACTTCCTTAGATGGAAAGCAGCACAAAAATCACTTTTGCAGTATCCCACGTTTTAATGAGATTCTCTTCTGCCAAGACAACAGAGGCAGCAACTGCTGTTTTCTCATGTCTCAAGAGAGCAGCCTGGTTACTATGAAGCAGTTATAGATTATATTCAGAAGGTGACCTGGGGCTGTGAACCCCAGGCTAACAGAGCAGCCCCAGGGGCTGTATTTCAGCTAGCTTTTAATACAACATAAATGTCCCTGTGAGACACAAAGATAAATAAAAATGTACCTCATAATAGGGTAGTAAATAACTGAGGGAATCTGTACTACCTTGTTACAAGTTGACAAAAGAATACATGTAGAAATCCAAAGCCATGCATTTAATCCCTCTTATGCCTGTCTAAGCCTTCTCAGTAACTCTGTGTCATGCTACTATAAAAAAATATAGTACTAAAATCTCAAGGTCCGTCACAACACTTTGGTAACTATCTGATAAACTCAAGACAAAATTMACTAGTTCATAGATACAGAGGAATGTTTGCTCTTCACCTTCAAACTTTTAAAATACAATTTCTAAGTAATAAATAGTAACATATATTTCATTAGCAGGCATACCAGACTTTAATTTACATTAACCCCACCATTGGCTTTGATCTAACCTGCTGTACTTTGGTGACCATGTCCTTGTAAATCATATCCAGGTTGGTATTCATGATTTTCACTAATGCAGACACAATGACCTCTGACTGCTGGGTAGTGAACCCTAAGCAAAACAAAACACAACATTAAGAGAGAGATCCAAATCCAGACAGTTTACAGAAATTCCACTTGCTGATACTCAGTACCAAGTTGCAATGAATGTCAGTTACGAAACATAAAACACCTCTTGATCCAGCACTAACAAAAGAACATAACTGGTCAGTACCTCCAAGTTTTCCCACCCCAAAATTATGTCTGTGACACAGATGACTGCTCCAGTAGTACAGCACTGTTATACTGTCAGCAGATAAACAGGAGTTTTCTAGAGTTATTGAGGAATGTCACCTCTCACATGTGGTTACTTCCATGAGCAAGCAAGAATTCTGACGCTGAAAAGCAGATATTTACTTCATTATACTATAAAAATTCAGTGCCAATGAAGATGTACAAAACTCAACAATTAAAATCGAAGCAAACTACCCTGATTTCAGGTCTACAAGCTTCAGAGTGCCTATTAGAAACCTTTTAAACTGAATAGATTGGGAACTATAGCAAAACACTGTCCCTAAAAATACTTCCATCTTTTCCACCCTCAAAATGTAGGAGTAAAAATGTCACAAACAAGAGTTAATAATTATGAAAAGAAACACTTGCAAAAGCATGATTATTTCAAACTAACCAGCAGTTCAGCATCAGCAAGCACAGCTGAGAGCAAGTCACTTTCAATAGCTAATGGTTTACTACCACCAAAAGGCTCCCTCTCCCCTTATCCCTCCTTGTGATACTCTGACCTGTACTCACTCAACTGATCCAGCAGCTCATTAAACTAGTGGCTCGGAATACCAATCAAGCAGAGGAGTTGCAGTGTTTCCTGAGAAGCTCCTGGCACRCAGAAAAAGAAGAAACCACCTGGCAGGGGAAAGGGACTAGGACCTCTCCTTTTCAGGAATGGAGAGCTGTTACAAGTCACTTTAGCTGTACTGAGCTTCACCTTAAGGAACCTCTCTCATCTCAGCATCGAACCCAAAATAATCAATTCCCTTATCTATATTTTAGCATAATGTTATTTTATAGAGCATTCTACATTTTATCCTAAAAGCTGCACTGTACAGACAAAGTAGTCTGCATATTCCACCCAATTGTAATACACTGCTGCATATTCAAAGTGCAATACACTAAATATGAAGGAATCCCATTAATACAGTTTAAACCACTACCTTAAAAAGTCTGGATTTTTTTGCTGTCAGTTCTAAAATTTTCTTTCTTTTTCTTAGCATTTTAACTACCAGTAATAAAACTGGGTAATAAATTATTCCAAACAAAGTTACATAAGCTCACTGTTYCCTTTTTGAAGCTGAAGAAAATTGTATATATCCTTACCTGGGGTAAGGTATCTTATATAGATAAGCCCAAAAAATCTATAAAACTCAAGGTGTAACACTGCATGTCAAGGAAAAGTAACACACTTTGCAAACTAAAACACCACACATGAAAGACATTAAAAATAGCTACTTATTTCAAACAAATTACCATTTTCTTCCAAGAGGCATACTAGCGCATGAGTGTCAAAATAAAGCCTCCTATTTCCCAGTAAGGAAATATTCTCTTTGCTTTGTACAGATGATGACACAGAGATGCTTACATCTGAAAAAAAAAAAAAGAAAATAAACAAAACCAAAGTTATTTTTAAGAAAGAATATTTTACCAACATATCTGCTTTACAGGAGTTTCCTTACTACCTTGAATATTTCACACTTATGACAAAATACTTGGTGTTGAGATTACCACAGCTTGCTTGGAAGTGAAAAGACATCTGACCAACAAGTTTTATAGGCAAGAGCTGGAAAACAGGACACTATGCTCCTGCTGCCCTTCTGAGATGCTCTCTAAGGGTAATATAATGTGGGAAAAATYCCACCAAGTGACAGGGTCGGCACCTCTTCCTTTACTGGAATCACTGCAGCAGGGGGGACCTGTGAGCACTTCAAAGCTATGAGGCCTAAAATCCACACACTCTGTCCCTTCATTATTAAAGCAGTAAACCTTCATCACTTGCCTGTTAGACAAAAAGTAATCACTCACAATTTGCCATTTACTGTTTTTATAGAAAATATTTCCAACAYTGAATGCCAAACTAAGTGTGTTGTTTCTACTGGGATACAAAGTGCATGAACTACCCTGACAGAATGAACGTGAGGTGGGGCATGAGACGAATCGCCAGGAGGCAGAATCATAGGATCAATTAGGTTGGAAMAGACCTTTGAGATCATCGAGGGCAAACTATGACCGAACATCACCAYGTCAACCAGGCCATGGCACTGAGTGCCACGTCCTTAACCACCTCCAGGGACAATAACTCCAGCACTTCCCTGGRCAGCCCACATTCCAAAAGTGAGTCACTTTTTCTGTGAAGAATTCTTCCTAATGTCCAGCCTAAACCTCCCCTGGCGCACCTTGAGGCTATGTCTTCTTATCCTGTCGCTGGTTGCCCGGGAGAAGAGGCCGACCTGCACTTTGCTACATCCTCCTCTCGAGTAGCTGTAGAGAGCAACAAAGTTTCCCCTGAGCTTCCCTTCCGCCAGGCTAAACACCCCCAGCTCCCTCAGCTGCTCTGCAGGGGACGTGCACTCCAGCCCCTTCCCCGAGCTCCCCGGCCCCGCCATTCCCGCAGGCAGCGCCCGCCCCCCGCCGCTCGCCGCCGCCGCCGCCTGGGCCCTGGCCATGGCCGCGCCACCCGGCCCCGCCGGCGCAAACGGGCAAGGGAAGGAGGGAAACCGCTGCTGCTGTCGCCGCTACTGGGATGCCATCGCTGAGCGCACACCGCCCCGGCGTCTCACTTCCGCCACAGGCGCCGTCCCGCTTCCGCCTCCGGGACGCGGCCAAACGCGGCAGGTGACGCTGCACGAGACCGCGGTTGATTCTACGGCTCACTCGGCGGCCGCCGCCAGAAGAGCTGCGCGGGCGGGCCCGGTGTCTGCCGGACGGTGCGGGCTCGATCCCCGCGGACGCTCCCTCGGTCACAGAATCATAAAATCGGGATCATAGGATCGTCAAGACTGGAAGAGAGCTTGGAGATCATCTAGTCCTACCGTCAGTGCAGCACTGCCACTGTAAGCCCTAAACCACTAAAGCAGACAAACAACTTTAGGCAAAACTTGTCGCTCTGCTGTGGGACTGACGTTTCGGGGCTTGAGGTTATTAGTCAAGTAACGCGCAAGACTGGGCGACTTTGGTGGGTCTGGAGCCTTAATCATTGAACAGTTGTCTTAAGCACTAGAGTGGTATGTGTGTATGGTCAAGTGTGCTGTATGTTTGGTTCTGCCAAAAATACAGGTTTCTGGGAAACACAGGAAAACAAGGCTTTTTCTTTATGTGCTGTTTTTAAGACACCTGTGAAAAATGAGGTTCACTCTCCTGTTAAAATTGAAAACGTTTTAATAAATGACAATAGGGTACATAAAAACAACAGGATGCACCAATGCCGGGTGCTTGAAGGTCTGCCAGAGGCACACCTGCTGTTGACAGGAGACATCTTTAAATGCATTTTGTATTGCATCAGCCTAATGCCTATTCATAGGCATTTATGTATATTCAAACTTTTTTAGAAATTGTTTAACATGGATCCACTTTTTTAGAGCATAAGCAGTGATTATGTTTATGCTCCTGGGGTCGCGTGCGTGTGACCCCTATTCCGTAGTTTCAGCGGATGGTCCTTTTTGATGGAGAAGTGTCTGTAGCAGGGGTCCCTAATGGGTCATGACGCCCCTGGCCTGTCCACTGCAGATACGGTTGTGTCTGAGGGATTGGGAGGGTCCCATCAGCCAGGTTCCTTTGGACGTTCCAAGAGCTGTCTTGACTAGAGACTTTTCACGACACATCCCAAAGCCTCTGCTCCTTCCACCCCTACCCTTGCTCAGTCAGGGTCTGTGCTGGCCTGGCAGCTGAGAGTCTTGGGGCGATGGCTTTCTCACCTCTAAGGTGTTAAGCATCCTGATCTCTTTGTGAATGTATSCATCCTTTTCCCCAGCTCTGAGCTGCTTCTTATCTTTAAGGACCACTGCTGCCAGGGCCTCATTAAAGGTTTTTTTGGTGACTTTCTTTGCAGCTTTTGCATAGTTTTGCTATAATATGAAAAATATCCTTTATGGAAATGTTTAAGTCACAAGTCRTAACAMTWCAGTTTAACTACAAGTATTCTATAACTATATCTGAGTTACAAAAGAAAAACAAACCCATCAGTGATGATTTTACCACTGTGTCTGTATAACTAAGCTACTTATGCAAAAACGGCAACATTGTACATATAGCACTCAATATTTGCAAAAGCTAACACTATATGTGTTTAAAACACACCTGTTCTTAATTATTGTAGGAAATTAATAGGAGAAGAAGTCGATTTGTCCCATTGCCATTTTCTCCAGGCAGCACTTATTTCAGAGCAAGTTGATGTTTCTTTCTGATACAAATCCCCAGAAAAAAGCATGCAGCACCTTTTCTTCTTCCGACTAAAATCAATAATTACAGCAAATCAGTATGACAATGGCATCATTCAGGCGTATCTGTATAAACGAAAAGGTAGGTGATCCACTCTGACACATGGCACTGTCACTGCAGCTGAGACTGTATGTACACAAGGCCAGCAGGTCTTTAGCAGTGCCTCCCTCCAGCTGCTGTGGTGATAAAGCCATTGGAAGAGTAGAAGCCATTGGTGTTTTTACAAAATAAACTAAAAATATTACTTGAGTATATCCGAGAGACATTATTATACTTGCAGACTGCACAAACATCAATTTCTGYTGATGATCATGGGCTCGTGGACTGACTTGCACAACCGTGTGTGTTTTCATTGTAAGTAAAAGCAGAAATATGCCTAATATTCACTGTAGCTGCTTGGCTGGTGTATGCACATTGCCTGGCATTAGCATGGCAATTGCTAATGCAATCATGACTGATTTCTGACACTGTGATCTGCAGGCAGTTGTCTTCATTCTGTGTTTGATTCAGAAACTGTTGCAGTGCRTTTTCTTTGATACTTTCTTCAATGATCCCGTTCAAAGCCCTGCACTTGCTATGACAATTGRAAGGAAAGGTTATGACTACTGAAGTATCTTCTATATCATCTGCCAGTTTGCATTTTGCAGTTGTATTTTGTGCTTGGACACAATGGCAGACAATGTGTGGCAGAAATGCTGTACAGATGGAGGCTCTGACTGCAACTGGAGCCAGCCCATTCAGCGTCAAATGCGCCCACACATGCTGGTTATCACACAGTGCCCCTTTTCATTTCCTCTAATGAAAGCAAAGTCACCACCATGAGCTACATAGATGTCCTGGTGCAAAGATGCAAAAGACTTTCTATCTTTGTGTCAGAGATCAACATTTTCTTTTTTTTCCCCTTTCCACTGTCATGTCTCCAGGTTGAGGGAGGTGATGCCCCCCCTATACTCAGCTCTTGTGGGAGCCCACTTGGAATAGTATATCCAGCTTAGGGTCCCAAACAGATGATGGGCATGGACCTGCTGGAGCGAGTCCAGAGGAGGGTCAGGAACATTATCAGARGGCTGGAGAACCTTTTCTGCAGGAGAGCTGGCTGAGAAAGTTGGGGTTGTTCAGCCTGGAGAAGAGAAGGCTCCAGAGGAGTTTGTAGCACCTTCTGGGACCGAAAGGGGGCCTACAAGAACGATGGAGAGGCTCTAATGACGAGGGTGGGTAGTAGCGGGACAGGGTGGAATGACTTTAAACTTGAAAGAGAGTTGGTTTATTAGTAAGAAATTCTTTACTGTGAGGRTGRTGAAGCACTGGAGCAACTTGCCCAGAGAAGCTGGGAATGCCCCATCCCTGGAAGCRTTCAAGGCCAGGYTGGATGGGGCTCTGAGCAACGTAGTCTAAGTGGAAGATATTCYTGCCCATGGCGGTGGGCGTTGGAACCAGATGCTCTTTCCCAAGCCAAGCCATTCCATGACTCTGTGATCTTCCAGATCCCATTTTGGACCACTTTCTACATGTTGAAGTTTGTTGTGTGCTAACTACTGAGCAGGTAGATTCACAGAGTTCTGGAGACACCTTCARTAGGCTACAGTAGCTTCAGAGTTATCCATTTCAGTAACTGGGCTTTCTGTTGCAAGCCAGGAGAGGATAGGACAAAAAAATTTCTGCTATTTCATGATTCTAAGTCGCTTAATGCTTGGCTTTTACCTATCCATTACCCCTTGAAAACCAATAAACCCTGCTCAAAGACTATAAATGAAGCAAATGCTTAGTGTCCTGAAAACTTTATCCCTGCAGGCACACAGCATTCACTTATCTATGGGGTTACAATCCCCTTGGTTGTACAAATGAGATCTGCAGAGAAAGAAGAAGTGGTGAATGACCTTAAAAACTAGGGTAACAGAAATGGCAAAGTAACGCAAAGTGAAAAATAAGGACTAATTACAACATCTTCTGTACTTTTAGGTGAAAACTGAAGGAGGGCAAAGTGAGCTCTGGGATGTATTAGTTGACCCACCAATGTGCTATGGCTGCAGGGAAACCAAATGTAACCCAAAGGTGTATCAAGTAGGATATTTTCAGTGGTTCAAATGGAAAGTTTCATTGACCATTGACTATAATGTAATTTCAAGTATGRAATACAGTTGTGGTCAATTCAGAACAGTGAAGATGAATCCATATTCAAACTGAGACCCTTCTGTAAACAGGATAATTAAGGGGAATGAAGCATCCTTTCAAGCAGGTGATTAAAAAGAAGCTGTCTYGTTTAACTAAGCAAAACTAAGCTTGAGAGGGGTTCTTGTCTCCATCTGTAAGCAAAATGGAAGAGTAAAGGTAGATAGGAAAAAAAAAGAAAAAAGAACATTACTGTAAAAGACCATTTGGTGAAAAGTGGCGGTAAATAAATGTAGATTAGAAATTAAAAGTTTTTTTGCTCAACAGTACAGCTAGGGAAAAGCTTCTCCACAGGAATCAGGAGGGATCAAAAACTGAACTCAGTTCTTAGATATCTGAGTGTGAAAGGGATTTTACAGTGCAGTTCCCTAGAATAGCAAGAGACTGGTTCCTGTGCCCTTGCATTAATTCTCTGCTATTGAGGTYCTTCTCTTTGCACCTCAAGCATCTGGGACTAGCCACTGTCAGAGAGAGACTAATGACCTAAAAGTACCCCAAGTGGAATACAAAATAGCATTGACTAGTACTGTTAACTTACTCCAAATATTTTAACACAGAAATTGTATAGAGTTCAGGGGGATTAACAGCTGTCAGGGGTGATGAATACCCCAACCCGTTCTTATTTCTAAATGGGAAAACCTAAAAACCTCSCAGGATAGAAAAGAATGAGAGTCACCAGTGCATGCATGCTTTCCCACATTGAATGGAAGAAAAGGRCTATAATAGCTTTTGAATGAATATGCAAATGATAAGGTGCATTTCGAGTAATTTCAGTGCTGTGATGTCAGGGATGAGCGTGCCTCAGTGGTTTTAAAGTGAAGGTGGCACCCAAAACACCGAAGGCAGAAAATAAAACAATATCATTTTTTACCTTGACTACAGCCGATAAGTGTTCAAAATCTTCTCTCATTCTTTTCAGGGGATGCACAGGTGAAGTCCTTCCTCTGTTATTTTGTTTTCCTTTTAGGGGACAAATCAGTGATGAGTATGTAATTTCTTCCATTGTATTTGTTTATGCGTGCGAACTTGTACGTATGTCTTGTAATGAAGAAAGGATCGCTGAGGAATAAAGCCAAAATGATCCTACCCGTAGGTGGCAGCAGTAACTGCTGCTGGTGCTGCCTGTCAGTGCCGCTCCAATTCAGCCTTGGGACTCAGACAAGGTTTAAACCAATTGACCTGATCCTCTGAGTCGCTAAACAGCCATTCCAGAGATCTTAAAATGGGGTCATGCACCGAACTGCTTGCAGAAACCACCAGCGGAGTGCATCTCCCTGGAAGCTGGTTCAATTGCCAGAAATAACCCTGCTGTGATTTCTTGAAGGAAGRAGGTATAATATTTATTCAAGTGCTATGGTTGACAGCAGTAAGAAATGGCATATATATTAGAATATTAAATCCTACTATGTTCTCATCAGATGTGTTTTTCCTGTAGAATGAACGGATAAATACCATCTGCGTTTAAAGCTATCAAAACTGAGTGCCATTACAATGGAGGACAATTTGGATCAATATCTCTCCCTACTAACCCAAGAATTACCTTGTATACAAAATATTTATGTATTCACCATCTTTGACTGAATAAGGCAGGAGGAATTGTTGTCATGACGTGGAAGGGCAGCAGCTGCTTCTGACTGCTATTTGCAGGAAGACAGAAATAAGGGAGAAGATCATCCATAGTAGTTACTTATTTTTTGTCTTTACAMACAGGGAATCAGATAAGTTGCAAATAAGAATTTCATGTCCCCTCAGCATGGCCTTACTTTTTTTCCAAAAGGAGTCCTGCAGTAGGATTGCCAGGTAGGACTTTCTGTGCTGCATTTTAACTGCTCCCCAGAGATCTGGTTCATAATGGCAGAAGATTTGGAAAAAAAAAGTAATTTCCAGCAAGGGAAAAGGGAAGGAATAGATTGGAATTTGGGGCTCATCTCTACTGGAAGAATCTTTCCTTCCTAAGGATTATTATTCATTGGCTTTTTAACTTTCTGGAATTGCATCTATTATTTACAGTTTTTCCCAGGTATCTCAGGCAGGGCAGTGCAAATTTACAAGACAAAGTCAGCAGCCTATGTGTGCTTATTAAGAAGGACATGTTATGCTGTGAACAGAATTAGGAGTAGGAGCAGTGTGATGGTGCGTGCAAGGATGCATAAGCAATCTGGGTGTGTTGCCAGCAGTTTTAAAGTTTTACCACTGTCATATGAGGATAGTAATACTGAAGTAGCCTCTGGTGTATCAGGCACTGTGTGCAGTACAGAAAATGTGGGTTTGAGGGAAGATTTCAAGGAGGAGGCAGAGTAGGGGCACTGTGGAGTAGTCCAGAAGTGTCTTRCAGGTGTAAATGTGCAAGAGAAAGGTTACCAGAGTCAGTAGTAGGTGAAAAAGTCCATGGAGGGTACAGACATGAACCTAAAGTAGTGAAAGGAGGACAGAAGAGATGAGTATAAAGGTTTGGAAATGTGGGTGAGGATTTGTTGTGAATATATGACAGATCCCGAGCTGAAGCTGTGACAACTCTGWGATGCACCTGAGAGAGCGGTGGGGAAGGACASTAAWGGGGRCGGGAGGAATCTGAATATGAACTGRTAGCAGTGACATTTTGTACTGGGCTGAGAAGGTAAAATGGATGACAGGAAAGCTTTGGGTTGTCACRTAAAGAAAGGAAGAGGAGGATGTAGGGAAGGGCAGTGGAGTTGAAAAGTGGATGGCCATTACTTGCTGTTCATTATCCTGTGAGACAGTTAAGCAGTAAATCAATTATGATACCAAGCAATTGTGTAGATAATGAGTTAAGCAGTGAAGCAGTTATACAGCAAATCATTTCTGATATTAAATAAAAATGGGGAGAATCAACAGCAATATGAATCAATTATGCAGAGAACTATTACCAAAGTCAGTTAGTTAAGTAGAGAAACAGTTATACAGCAAGAGAATGAATAAATTAATTAGCAAGTGGGACCATAATATTGAGAATTAATTATGCAGGATCTTCCATTGTGATAAGGGGCATGTCTGAGGCAACTTTATGCACAGAAAAAAAAAAAAATCCAAAGCAAAGCCATAGAAACAGGTATAAAACTAATGAAGACACAAGTCATGTGCCAGTTCTCAGACCCTTTGTGACATCCTCTCCTCTGTCTCTTTGGACTAGACTAACTCGTGCTGCAATGAAGCCATTGCAGAAGCAGAGCAGAGGAAGCCTGTTTCTCCACCATGCCTTCCTTCACTGGAAACATGGATGTGAGGTAAAGGAAGTTCAGAGTTTGTGTCTCTGACAGGTGGGATGTAGAAGGAGCCCATGGTCTCTGGAGCCATCTAAGCAGCACAGAGAGGCTCAGGGCTCTCCATGGCCCCCAGACTACTTAGGGTAAAACTTTTTTGTGTACCTTCTACCAAAGAGCCTGGATTCTCCTCTGCCTTGMATTGGTTTCCACTTCTACAAAACCATCAACCATCTGCAGAGAAATGTTTCCATTTTGTCAGCTGTCTCTACTGTTACASCTGGGTGAAAAATAACTGACCTTTTGGATACTATACTCTCTGATTGTGTCAAAGGTAAGGATTCTGCTTCAAGAGACAGCTGTCTTACTTTAAACAGATAAAAATGCATGACAGACCCCAAGGTGGTGAAAACAAATTTTCAAGTCTTCATTCTTGTGGTATCAATTAAGTATACTGACTTATACAAGGGATATAATATGCAGTATCATTTTTTCTTTACAAAAAAAACCAAAAATCTAAATCTAAAAATGGTGAAAGAGAGAAAGGAATCTGTAACATCTTTGAGAGAACAACATGTTTTACCAGTCAAACGTTTGAAACCCCTGTCTAGACAACAGTTCCATCTAATTCTGTGATGAATTGGCTTGACTGCTGGATCTAAAGAAATGAGAAGAAATGCTGAACTAGATTCTTCCAACAATTACCTGTTCCAAGTCTAGYTGGCTTCTTAAGAAGGCTGGCAAAAGGTCACTCTTGCTGTTTCCATTCCCCTGTCCCACCAAGGTTAAGGTTGCTATTTCTCACTACAGCTCAGAAAAGCAATAGTGAAGGGGTCTGTCTTACTATGACAAAACCTATAGCCTCTGCTTTGGCCAATGCTGCAATGCAAGCACAGAATATTCAGAACTRAAACATGTTTTTCACACAAACAAATGAAGCAATTATTGTTTTTTCCACCAAGGTTTAATGTCATATTTGTTGGTTAGAGAGATAAAGTTATATGGTACGTTCTGATGATAATAATATAAAYATGGTAATAGCTATTCACATGTTTTTARKGAAAGTGTTRTGAAACTAGTGACAGAAACTTATTMATACATAAGCCAACATTGTTTAAAAGTGTAGTACAGAAATATGTGAAATAGAAAAATATAACATAAAAGTAAGTGTAAAGGAAAATGGGATCCGCTGTAGCAGAAGCAGACTGATRTGGTTGGATACTATGCTACCTATCTCTGTTCAGCCATGTTAAAATGCTGTAAACTCCTATCCTCATCTGTAATAGAGAATGTTAGCTTCAGCTCTTGGTATTTACTCCTATCTGTGGCTTTCTGTCAGCATTTTCGTGCACCATATTAGAATCAAATCCGGCATATGCAATCAGTATTAATTGCAAAGGATAATCTCTAAGGCAATATGACAAGACCTTTCTGCTGAGGGTCAGGGCTGCTGAAGTTAGGACTGTGTGTATAAACACCCAGTATGCAAATGGGCATTATGCAGGTGCAGTATACACATGAATAGGAAATATGCAGAAGTTATAGAAGCAAGAGATGCAATTTCAGCTGCATTAGTCTGCAGATAGTACTGTTTCTTTATTTTGGTGGACTGTGCTGGGACAAACCTGACAGTTGGAACTAAACGTTTCCTTGTTTTTTTTTTCTTTTAAGAGATAAGAACTGGAATCAATATTAATCATTTATTCACACAGGTGCTTTTTATTGGTCTTTGTCCTACATATATAATTTTCATCAGGCCTCTAGGTTTTTTTAAAGGTTCCTGCAGATTTTCCCACATTTTCTTTTCAGCTAGAAACTCAGTTTTAGGAAGTAAGGTAAACCTGTTGCATGCTCTGTGCAAAATGGCTCAAACTGGGTGTTTGCTTTCAAAACAGGCTTTCAACATCAWTAGTTCATTTCTTTCACTGCTGTTTTCTTGTCAGACATCTCCCTCCTAGAATTATCTTCTATTAGAACTATGGAGTTTGGCTGGATTTAATCTGTTGTTATTGGTTTAATGTTACATTAGTGTTAAATCTTCTTTGTTTCTTATTTCTACCAATGTTTTAAGATTCTGAAAACTGAAAATCGTGTATATAYCTCAAGACAAGGATGTGAAAGCCCTAAATGTCTTCCATCAGARTCTGAGTTATAGAGACAACTGACATGGTAGGTAACACTGTTGCTCTTTGGCAGCACTGATCAGTGTTCAATGAGTTTTAAAGCTGTAGACGGAGATAAGAAAATTTGCCAACATGAATCAGAAGAAAAACTCACAATGTTATTTATAAAAACATAGACAAAGGGGAATAAACAATCTTGTTTCCTTTCCTGTGACTCCTGAGTAGTTTTTTTTTACCTCTGGGCAACAAGCAATACCTTTGGCTGTAGTTGCAGTTTAGGGCATTGCTTCCCTTTTTTTAACTTTGACCTGCCTCCTAGCAGCCTCCAGTATTTGCAGATGTCTTTAGTACAYCTGGACTAGAGGCTGGCTTTGGAACCAAGGCTCTGAGGTAATTAGATGMATAATTATYAATATTAATATTAATAATTATTAATATAGTGCAGGATAGTGTTAAATGTACCCCTTGTGGYTCTGAATTATTCTTTTTGCCTCCATGGAAAAATGCAGACTCTGTAGTCTGGAGATGAAGAGTTTCTCTGTTGTGTAATATTCCATAGGAACTTCAGATTGACAGAGCTGGTTATGGAAATATTTTCTGTACAACTGCAGTGTTCCAGTTCAGAAAACTTTAGTTTCTAGGCAGATGCCTGTTAACTGACACTGAAGACCCATAAAGACAAGGCCAACCCAATGGCCTTGAGAACATGCAATCAAACTCCTTCTCAGCCTGAAAGCATTATTTGTTAAGGAATGACCAATGACTCTACAAACCCYGAGAAATGCCGAAGAGCTCCATGATGTAATTTCTGAAATGTCAGCTGCCTGTGTTCAAGTCACACAGACTTAGTGAGGGCTCAAAGAAGAGAGTCTATCCAAGGAATGGYGCATAGGCAAGACAGATGCAGGCATAAGTTACTTAAAATACCCTAGATGTTATCTAATACTTTGTTTCTTTCTCTAATCATTACTTAAATATGAGACCTGGTCATAGACTCCCTGGGGAAGTGACATAAATGCCAGAAACTGGCTGTGTGTCTGGGCTGAAACTGGTTGCTCTACAGAGCACTGTGGGCTCATCTAAAAATAGGGAATGTTTATGTCCCTCTAAGTTATGAGAAAATGTTCCCCTCATAAACAATCTCTGCTGGGGTACACTTGGAGTGATTCACAGGRTGACTTCGATACAATTCACTTTGTAGCCATAAAAATTACATTAAATAAATGTCTGTGTATATGGAAAAACATTGGCATGTCAACATGACCTAGAGCTTCTCAAAAATAAATATCAAAAGATCTGGAAGAAAACATCTTTAACTTGCGATAGATAACTGCTTAACTATTCAGACAAAGAAAGGAAATTGCCAAGAGTTAACCTCAATTTCTTTAGGATTCCACTGGATCACAATTYCTTTTTAAAAAAAATGTAAGTCACGTAGAAAACACCCTAACTGCAAGGTATTATGAATTAATAYTGTGGCTGGAAGAAGTAACATATATCCTTTTCTTACTGACTTACTGACCAATAGCTTAGGTTATAGCATTTTGTAGCATTTCAGATGGAAGAACTTAGTCCAATAAAAGATTTTGCATCAGTAAGGTCATTTGGGGACATAACTGAGTGAGAAACATGTTGCACTTTCGGCAATATGTGAAAAGAGATTATAGTTCTGGTGCCTAGTTCTTTGTGGTGTTTTTGAAATAAGTCCTGCTTGTGTAGGAACCTTTGTCCCCTGCACTTAAGTGTCAAATTTCATTGCATTAAAAAGGAGTACACACCGTAACAGATGGTAAAAATGCCATTGAATAATTTTTAATGATAGCAGAAAGCTAATTGCTTGTCAGCAGAAAATACATTTTCCAGAATTGGCAGAAACCCTACAGAATATCTGTGTTTTTGCTGTAAGGTTCAAGCTGGTTGATTTTGTAAAAATGTGACAAAAGTCATCTTTACATTCATATAAATACTTTTAGGTAAGGTAGAGCTGAAATGCGTATCTAATTGATGTGAAATGATGCTGGAGTGCCGAAACCCAAGAACAGATTTTAAAGAGATGAAATTACTTCAGYTATGACTTGGCCATCAGATGAGTCAAGGTACTCTGGCTTTTGGAGGAGCTTTGTATGAGTTTATACACACTGAAGTCTTTAATTTTACATCTTTCCACTGAGAGTATTATGTAGATATGTACTCTGCCTCCTAAAAGTTAATCTTTTTGGCATTGCTGTGAGAAATGGCTATATTATTATCATTCCTGTGTTGCAGATGTAAAGCCCCTAAATTATAGTTGATGACCTTTTGCATATATTTTCATTTATAAGAAAAAGCCCCTACAATTCAGTAGGACAAGTAGAAACTCATTATACATTTAAGTTATATTTTGTTRAGGTTACTGGGAATATCTGAGGAAGTTTGACATTTTTTGCTTTATATGCTTTTCTCCTGAAGGAATGGCAAATTATGTATGTGCATTTTTTAAACAAAACAAAGTAAAAAGTTACTTTATATTTAAAACAAAGAAATCTTCAACACTGCTCACAAGGAAGATCACTCAGTTGGCAGTGCCTGACAAATCCAGTCAGCCCAAATGACTAAATAATTACATCTTTCCAGACTACAGTGCTGTAGAACAAAGAGCATCACCCAGAAGGTGATTCAAAACTTTCAGCAGAACTAGTTCCATGAAGTATTTAGATTTTTTGTATAACAACTGTAATCCAAATAAAATACTTTGAAATGCAACAGAAACAGATAGCTATCATTTCTATTTTAGGTGAGACCCTAACTTATTAAGGACCCAGCATTTTTTTGTTGTATCCTTGCTTTCCTACACAGCTGTTGATGGAAAAATTATCTCAATATTTTATATCCACTGTGAGTCTTGTTCTCCTAATTTTGATRTAATATTGAAGACGTGAATAGATGGAAGAATAGATATAAGGTATTGATTGATCGGAACACAGAAGATCAGGGAAATCCCACACACACTGATACCACCCATCTTTGCTGTGTCAAGAAAGTCACTTGAAATCTGAAGGCCTTCCGTGGAATTTACATCTGGCTTTCAGGCTCTGGAACTCACTGAGTTCTGAAACTGAAAGATCTCCTGTTGACTCTGTGYATTCAGTATAAAGACCCTCATTTTTTTTTTCCTGAACAGAACTCTGATGGGGGAAGAAACTCACTGATATGAAAATGTGATTCCAGCTTTTCATTTGCCAAGTGTATTTTTAACTATTTATTTTTGAGTGGCTGCTCTGCACTTTGCTTTAGTGTTATTTTTATAAAGATRATTTGTAGCTGTGCAAAAGGTGCTGAGGGTGCACTTCCAGAACCCTTTTGTACATATGCAAAAATAATGACTAAATAAATAAATGCTCCTTTCACATGACCTCATCAAGAGCAAAGCCAAATTCTAGCAAGAGAAAGCCAGCTGAGCAGAATTTTCCAAGTGCCTGTATTACAACATTATTTCTATTCCCATTGCATCTCAGGGCCCTAGTCACAGACTGGGACATTACGATGCTAAGTGCCACACAAAAATAAAAAGGATGTCTTTGTTCCAAGGGGCTTTTATAACAGCAGTGGTCGAAACAGAGCAATGTCTGTCAGTAAGACCCAGGAACATTTTYCTGAGTGTGGAAGTGTGTATCAGCACTTTCTCTTAATGCCAGMTCAAGGACAGATAGGATAGGTGTGATGACATCTGATGTTCCATTTCAGATGCTGAGTACAAATTTATAAATGCTTCAGAAGAACCAAGCTGTACACTTGCTGTACTTTGAAGAGGTAAGTTAAAAACCAAATGCTAATCAGCCAGCTAGGCAGAGATGAAGTGGGGACAGTCAGCTCAGGTTTTCAAGTCAGCATTGCTGAGGGATTTTGCTTATGTACAGACTTGTGATCTTGTTTTCTATGTCTACAACCATCTGAAATTTTGCATAGCTGCAGACTGAACATCTGCATAAATCTGAGTGAAAGATTTAAAAAACAAATAAGAAGATTATGKAGCAAAACCAGATCTTTGTTGCAGCATTTTGGAACTCAGACACATTACATGAAAYKAACAATACAAAATTGTGTTTTCAATACATATAATCCATCTGGACATTAATTTTTATCACTTGTATCTTCAGGTTTGAACTGAAGATGACACACTACTAGGAGCAAGGAAATCATTATGAATTTTTACACTAGTATTGACGACACTGCGTGGTTCCAATAAATTACAATGATGACACGTATTTATGGAGGTAAAGGAAAATGAACTCCTCAAATCTCATAGCTGTGGTGATACATTGCTGGAGCACCAAGGTGTCACTAGCCTGAAAGTGACAGCTGTGCTTTCATTGAGAGGAAAGGATTTTAGCTCTTGGATCCCTGTGGCAAGTGACAGTYCTCAAATTTGCAGAAATGCAGGAGACTTCAGGATCCTACATGCTGAACTTTTCTTTGTAAAGTCATGCCCTGGCCATGTCTGCACCTCAAGTCTTTTTTGATACCATTCCGGGCTGTGATTGTGCCCTGCCRTATGCCTTTTCTTGTGCAAGCACTTGAAGTTAGAGAAATGCACATGATCTAAGGCTGTGCAGAAGGAAAACAAGCACAACTCTTCTTTGCCAAATGGAAAAATAATCTCTATAAGGTGATTTTACATATYGATTTTCCCTTGGCAAGAAGCATGGGTTGTTGTGATTACACACACATGCACATCCTGCTTTCTTCATGTCCTATGACTTTGGGGAAGTAACATTAACAGAGAGATGGAGAAATTAATCTGGGATATTTGAGAGCAGGGAAGAACTAGAAAGGGAATTGCAGCTTTAAGTGACTGCCTCTTTTTGTTACCAGCATCTAGAACTCTAAGTGGCATTGGGCCCCATTTCCAGAAACTATAACTAAATGCAAGACAGTTTACACAAAATCTTAAATTTTACCTGACTGGGTAAAATGGAAGAATTTTTGGATTGACCAGAATGAGGATGTTTTTGTTCAACTGAATCAAAATKATTCATGCTAGATGAGAGAAGAACATATCTGGGCTGCTAATACTGATGTTCTGCATCAGCCAGTTTAGATCAGAATCTTTGCCTAGATTTAACTCTGGTTCTGTACCAAAACGTGCCTTGATTTGATTACACCAGCCCTGACAAGTTCATTAGCTGGAGCACGCTCAGGAAGGAGATGAGGGTAAGGGTGATACATTGAGCCAATCAGCTGGGCACTGTTCTGTTTGGGGAGTGTTGAAACTTTGCAGTGAAATTAAAATGCAGCTGGAATTGGCTTTTTGAATGGTARAAGTGCAGCTGGGAAGTAACTGGTGGGTTAAAACTGCAGATGAAAACTGTGGCGACTTGCAGCAATTAAGCAGTCTGGAGTCTTTCAGAGAATGAGCAAAAAACCACACATTTTAAATACAGTGAAATTATCGGGCAAATATATGTCTGCAGCTTTTTCCTGACACTTTATTTCATCAACCAGCTAGTAATACTAGTGTTCATACCCTATTTATAATTTTTTCCCAATAATTTTTCTTTAAAAAGAGGTCATGTTTCAAAATTATGGTAGAAATGAATAACCCATGAGGCAATATCAGCAAGCCCCTATTTCGGGGTTAGATGGTCCTTTTGCACTGCTGGGTGGTTGACAATATGCAGTTAAAATCCYTACTGACCCCCTCTGCTTCTTTCTCCATTAGCTTCTATTGTCTTTAACATAAACCCTGGTAACTTTCCACTGATTTGAATAAATAATAATTACATTTCAGTAATCCTTGTTATTGCATTGCCTAATTAGTCTCTGTAGCTGACTTAAGGTTTTAAATCATGAAAATTGAAATGAATTAAATATAAGATAAACAAAACCCTCTCATGAAACATCTTCCTTTCCAACACCATAGAAATGTTTCTCAAGAAACTATGAAAAACAATTTAAAAAACATTTTAACTTATTTTCCTGGACAACTGCCAATTCTTAATTTACTGACATTTTTATTTTGCTCTCTTGGGTCTCAAGTGGAGGATGGACCATGTCTTGAAATGTAGGTGACRTTTTTATCTTTAAGTAATCTTCTCCTAGGAATGATGCTGCATGCATAAAACATCCAACATACAACAGAGGAAACTAAACTCTTCTATGAGTGTATTAAAGTCAATGGAGTTACACACAGATGAATTTGGCCCAATGAAGTATTCTGGAGAACAGAGCAAAGCCTGTTAAATTACATACAAGAAAATAGAATACCAGAGCTGCACAGTTGGACAATTTAATTCTATTTTCATTTCTGCTCAATAGCTTCTCACTTGCTAGTTTCTATTCTGCACAGCTTTTTATACAACAGCCATCTCCACAATATCTGAGTACCTTCCAATAATGCATTAAAGAGTGTGACTAACATGTGGTCCAGGTTTGTTTTCTCATCTTCTCTAATGTTCTGGGAAGTTCTGTTTATAATAAATAATTATCATGAGGAAAGGCATTTGTCCCTTAAGACACTAAGGAAGAGAAGCAGCATTTTTTACACAGATAATCAAATACTTAGGGGAAAACATACTTCTTTTCTATAATTCAGAAATACAGCCTTATATATTTAAAAAGTACTTTCCACAGATGTCTCAGGTTGCAGAACTAACACATTCCTACTGTACACAGAATTATGTCAAGGCAAAATCTGGGGAGAAGCAGATATGTTGTCAAGTTAGAGGGAATCAAAGTGGCTCACATCCTTGTGGAAGATGCTGGGCCATTTCTGAGACTGGCAAGTTGAGACCAAAGCAGGAGGGGACAGTTTAGGGCTTGGATCATGGCTKATCCAGGGCCAGCTGGAGTAGACAGCAGGAACCTCCACATGGCTCCTCTTTGTCCAGAATGGGAAGGAGTTGAGTAAAACATTCACACAATTAAATCAGAAATAAAGAACTTGGGATTTGAGCAATCCCCTTGTGAATGAACAATGTGCTTTGCTCATGACATAAAAAGAAATCTTACAAAAAGATGAAAAGGAAAGATGAAGAAATGATCTGAGAGAGCAGAAATACCATGTTGCATGAAGTGGCTTAAAGCCATGTGTGCATTCAAACCCCAGGCTCAGTTCTATTGATACATCTAACRGATAAATCACGCTGTTGTTTGATCATCTACATTTGAATCTTATACTTCAAATTCAGATGAATCTTAGCAAGCTTAGGAGCATTACTTCCTAATTTGAATTCAATTGAGTAACATCTGTGCTGAGAAGCTAATTGCACAGATTTTTCAATGGTCTTTATATGAAGTATTGCCTCTTCTCCATTTAAGAAATGAGGCTTTTGTTAGCTCTGCAGATAACCATGGTTCAAATTCATGCCTAGCATTAGCAACTTCTTTCTGTTGTTGTTTTTCCATCAGGTGTTTATGTGAGTTTAATTCCATCTTYTTACAYRGGAATACAAGATAACAACCCCRGCTTCTGTTCCAGCTCTTTCATCACACACTGCCTCTCCCTGCTCCTGCAAGACACATCTCTGTTTCTGCAGGAGTTTCTGCTGGCTTTGGGTTCTCTGTCATACAATTTTTTTGGAWAAGATTTTAAAAAGACAGTAATTTAAACAAAAAAATAAAGGTAGAGCTGGGAATCTGAAATACAAGGTGAAGTTTCTTCCAAAGTAAWCTATCTTGGGAGAGTGTCTGGGTATGGTTCAAATCACTTTGATGAACTGACTTCTTAGATGGTGAATCAATACAATTTTTTTCATTWGGCTGAAATAATAATTGACAACTGAATTATTGATGGCTCTGAAGGCCTACGTGTGTGTTCTGCTAGCAGGCAGGATTGGTCCAGCTTCTGAGAAAGTGTTTGGCGGGTCAGGAATACTGGTGACACAAAGAAATATGAGCTGACAGAATAACATGAAGTTAGTGATGGGAATGGCTTTCTGCCTATTGCCTGAAAAGAAAGTGTGGCCTCACCTCAATTACACTGCTGGAACTCCAAAGATGCTACAGGGCACTGAAACTTGCCAGTGACTGGAATCTTGCAGTCTGTCATTTCAAATGATATGTGAAACACAGTTCAGAGAAGCTGTGATTTRTTTCAGTAGATCCTGTACCTTTGAATCCTGTATTTTATCACAAGACCAGTCTTAGTAGACGTTTGTGATAACTGCTATAACGTTGAGTTAAAATGGAACCAGAATCTACTGTTTGATAGCATGAATCTCCTCTTCTTCACTCCTGAGGGAGCTGCRAACACAGAATAACATCCAGCTCAAACTTACGCACTTTCAGCTTGGTGTGCTTTCCCTGTTCATAATTCTCTCATCTTTGTTAGAAAAATGCATTATTTTTCTTTCTCTAAGAATTATATTGATTATACATTCTAGATACAAAGAGCCACTATTGCATCGTGTGTTGTTTTTATCTGGGAGTTTGCTGGTAAGTGAACCAGACCAAATTCTTAAAATAAACTGAATTCGGAAGTATAGAGCTAAAGGCAGGAACATTTCAAGAAACAATTGGAACCTATTTTGAGAATGCAAAGACATAAAAATAAACAAAGCAGCCAGCCTAAATTTGCTTTTATCTCCTATGCTYCAGCATTGCTTTCTGATCTGTGATTTTTCAGTGAGGTGAAAAAAAGTTTTTATTAAAAATATTCCTATCATTTAGGCACTGTAATAACCTGCAATCTACAGGCTTTCAGGACTCAGAGAGGTTAGGTAACCACCTTTTGTTCAGCAACCTCATTTTCTGTCACTTTCATTCTACGCACCTAAGACAGAATGTCACAGAAATCTATGGGTTGATTTCTATTTGAGCTGATTTAGACAATGCTAAGTGCTGCAAATGTCTATTACTATCTTTAAAGATCTCCATAATGAGCAGGAGTACATCAGTGATTTATRCCTCTTCTGTTGCCATCATCCTCACTAATAARGAACTCCAAGATCATCTCCATCTCTTGTCAAAAGCATTTTGTTTTCACATGTTCCATATAAAATTTGTTGATGATTTGTAAAATGCAAATGAACTGTGGCCAGGTAGGTAGATTTATCTTATCATAATATTATGACAGTTTACTTAATCATTTTATTGCTTGAACTGTGAAGATTGCTGCTGCTGTGGAAACACAGCAGAAGGCTGCAAGAATGCACAATGGCAGTCAGCAACTGTGGAAGGTAAAGGTGCTTTATATTGCTGCGGTAGTCTTAAGGGGGGGACAAAAGGGATGATCTAAAAAATCCCCCAAAGACTCATTAAGAAGGATTCTATTTACAAAGTAGTGTATTGTGCTAAATTTAGTTACTGATTTTGATATCAACAGCAACCAGTACTAATGAAAAGCTTATGCAACACCAGTGAATTTAGTAAAATAAAAATACAAATAAAAAACCTCATTTTAAAGAGTTAGATTACACCAAACTGTAATTACTAATTCAAGATTACACAAGACTGTAATTAACAGTTCAGTGTTCCAAACACTATCAAAAGGCAACTAATGACACATTTACAGTATACACAAACACCATTGCTAGCAAAGTTTTGATACCATACTTTTTTTTCCCTTTTGCTAGTGGYTCRWATGGTTTAGGTAAACAGAATGCCAGTAGGGAAATCTACCCAGGTTAATGCTATCTACCGTGTGCTGGTTCARGACAGGTTTTAACATGCTGTTTAAATTCTCTCTAAAAATAAAYTTTCTAAACATGTGCTTGACAGTAGCATGTGCTAAGTCTGCACTTGTTACAGCAGCACACACATGAGTATTTTCCTGATTTAGAGCCACAAGGATACAATCCTCACTTTAAACTCCTTCCAAGCAAGGAAAACAAGAATTTAGAGTCATCTCACTAACAGGAATCTTATAATGTAAACCACATTTCTCTCCAAACCAGATTAAATAAAAGGATGACAATTTTTATTCACATGTGRTCAAGCCCTATGGGGAGACTACTGTGAAGATTCAGGGCTGATCTGGTTTAACAAGATGGTGAATTTCTTGTCTTTTATGGACCTTTCAATTGTTTTTTTGAAAGATGGAAAGGGATACCACTCTTAACAGGGAGTTAATGTGATTACATAAGCCAAACAATAAATTAGAAGCAAAATAGGAGCTCATCAAAGCAAAGACAGCTGGCAGCCAATGGCAGGATTACTTAGTGTGGTAGACTGTGCAAACCCCAAATTCAAACAAATATTCTSTAGGGAAATGCTGACCCTGACACCTTTCTAGATTTTGCTGTGGGCCTCCAATAGTGCTGACCAATGYGTGGTACCATTGGCCTGAGAGAATTGGCAGGGCATGTGGACCTGTTTAGCAAAGTAACTTAGAAAGATTAAAAAATCCCACTGCTGAACAGGAACCATCCTTGCTGCAGGAGGACTCATCCATGAAGGCTCACAGGRCTCAGATCTGTCTCTGTGAAGACCCAAATCTGTTTCCACCTCCTTTCCATTTCTCTTTTCAGTTTCAGGTTAAGCTGGTTGTACAGCATAAGC